GGTCATCTCGCGTGGACAGCCACGCCTGTATGCGGTCAGAGCAAACCAACAAAGACATTTGGCTATGCTCGACGCCTTAGGAAAGCCTCCAAACGCTGCTAGCGTTTGGTCCGGCTGATATCCTAACGATTACCGGTAGGAAGTTTAGTGACGTTTTTTAAGTAGGAAGGAGTGGGTATTTTAGTTTGACTTGCTTCTTCGGTATTCTCCTCAGAACAGGGAACATTAACACCTCTAAAAAATGTGTCAGAACAATTTGTTTCGACAGTTGTGGCCCCTTTATTCTCCAGGTGGAAGTGCTTTTTAATTTCACAATAGTTTAAGGCTATGTTTGAGTCCTTTCTGGTTATTTATTCTTCAGAACTTTATGTGCCCCGGAGAAGTTTCTCTTGGCAGACGCTAGTGGCCCTTATTTACTCGTGTCATTTTTCCCCTCTCCTAGGTACCTGCTTCAAGAGCACAGTTTCTTCGTCTGCTGGAGGTCGTCAGACTGGAACGTGGTCTGGGACCTACCGTCATTCATTGCCTTGATGGCGGAACAAAGAGCGGTCTCTTCGCAGCCAGCTTTATTCTCGTCGAGCGAATAACCAGAGACCTCTTCGTCGATGTATTTCACACGGTAAAGGCCATAAAACTGCGTCGCCGCGCTGTGATCGGCTCAGCGGTGAGTCCCTATAAAAGTATTTTGAATGTGTTGGTCCCTAGGACATCAGCGATCCTTTTGCACGATCGTTTTTAGACTGATAGTTGTGCAACATTTCGCCCTCTCCGAAAGTAACCTTAAAAGACGGGATTTTCTTAAAAGCTGCGTCCTGCAAACTTCATCCAATCTTCCCAAAATTATAATTAAAATGAGCAATACAGCCAGTAAAGAAAAAGAACTGCTCAAAAGTACCCGCGAATATAACACAATCTCATGTCGACTCTATACTAAATTCTAGAGGTTAAAGTATAACCTTGAAAGATAGGCTTTTACCCACTTTTTTAAAACTAGCAATAACTTCCACTGCATTTAGAAAAATATTATAGTACGATAAGTCAAAAGTCAAACGCATGTCGCTTAAAAAAATGAATGTAAACTAAGTTGAGCTAAAACTAAAGTTGAGGCAAATGTTCGCATCCCAGGTACGTGTGTAGATAGAGAAGTAGAAGGCGTTTCGAGCACCGGAATCATAATTTTTACTTGTCTGAGCTTTCGGGCTCTTTCTAGAGTCCATCGTCACGAGTTTAATTTCGCAGCTGCGAGGGTAATCGCGTACGCTGGCAACAAAACAGGCCGCGAATTGATTGAAGCCTGGGCCTCGGATGA